TTATACAACATAGCAGACTATACCTTCAAATTTATAACCATGATTCCCTAGTTGTTGTTCCAATCTCAGATTCATTTGTTGTGTAAAAATGATCATTAGCATTATCACTCCAGTATCGGTACAAAGGACGATTGATGCCTGGCAAGGAATTCTTGAAACAATATCCTTGAATGCCTTCATAGTTATAACCATCAGGGTTTCCTTCTCCACATGCTAACTCGTTGAAGTCTGTCGTATATAAATGATCACGTATTCCTTCATGGTAATATCGGTAAAGTGGAACAACAGCTGGAGCTACAAGCAGTGGCGGATCTATGGGGGGGGGGCCAGGGGGGACAATGCCCCCCCAAAAATTTTTAAACTTTGGTTTACCTATGTAAACTGTGAAGCAGCTGCAGTACTGGACTATGTAAACAATCTTTAAACCACAATAGAGCTCATTTTACAGGCTTAGTCTTTATAATTTTTACTTCAATGAAAGTTTTGCACAAGCTTAGTTGACCACACCCCCTAATTACCCCTCCCATCTCATAATTGCCCCCCAAAAATTAAATCCTAGATCCGCCCCTGGCTACAAGTACATGTATACATGTGTATAAGAAGAAAGATGCTTAGCATTGGCAGATAATGATGTCATCTTCTCACCAGCATAAATGTAAGCAGCAATTCCTTCGCTCCTGTAACCACGTTTATCTATTTGACCAGGGGTGGTAGTTCCAATCTCATCTGGAGAGGTAGTATAGAAATGATTAGTACCATTACTTGATCCTAATGTACACAATATAATAAGCATGCATGGTAACATTATGTGAACTGACCTAAATACCGGTAGAGTGGTACGAGAGAACCACTAGCAGCCTTGACTAGTTCAGCTATATCAGGAGGGCATGTGCACTTGGGCTTGGCTATAAAGCAAGGTATTAAATCAGTACTAGACGAATGTAAAACATTAAAGGGGCGAGCCTAAGCAAGCTATAGATTATGTGCTGTATGATATACATGTCTGAGCTAGCAAAGCAATTCAGTGCACATGTCTAAATTCAGTATCTTGCTTAAATTAAAGTTATTTTGCTTATAGTTAGAAGCAGTCACTGAACAAATCATATTTGAAGATTGTATATCTGCTTTGTTAACCTAGGCTTGCTCCTAGAGAAGAAACATCACCTAGAATTGATCTCATGATGCATGCAGCTAGCAGTACAGTACATGCAGCTTTCTCACTTGCATTCACCTTAGCAGAATCCTTTATACCAAGGAAAAGACTGTATATCTGCTCCCCCAACTTTTATTCTTGCTAGAGAAGTTTCAGACAGCAGTTTAGCCTTATCTAGCTGACCGTTTCCTGCAAAATAAGCTCAGACTTGCTTATAGCCGCCATTTTATCATTGTGACCACACCCACTTTCAATGAAGATTAGGCTATTTAACTTTAATAATAGTTAGACGGTCTGTCCGTACAACCTAACAAACGCTTTCTCGCCTTAGTGGGGCGAGCTCAGGCTTGCCCCAACAATTAGTAGAGCAAAAATTTAAAATCTAACAACTAGTACCGATACTTTGCTTGATATTTTGTACCTTTCAAGTTTTCAGTCAAGCTCTTGTTCTCCTCCTCTTTCTCTGCTAGCTCTTTCTCGAGTTCTTTCAGCTTCTCTTTCAATACTGATATCTCTTTCTTACCATCCTCCAATTTATCTACAAAGAGAAAGAGAGAAGGAAAGAGAAAGGAAGGGAGAGAGAGAGTTAATATGGCTCTCATAGTTCTAAGTAGCATTACCTTCGTTCTGCTTTTTCTCTCGTTTTAGACGTTCCAATTCGTTGGTCAAACTTTTGTTTTCGTATGCTTCTACATGTACAAAAAAATAAAACTTACTAGACGAATGTAAAACATTAAAGGGGCGAGCCTAAGCAAGCTATAGATTATGTGCTGTATGAGCTAGCAAAGCAATTGCACATGTCTAAATTCAGTATCTTGTAGTCATCTTGCTTAAATTAAAGTTATCTTGCTTATAGTTAGAAGCAGTCACTGAACAAATCATATTTGAAGATTGTATATCTGCTTTGTTAACCTAGGCTTGCTCCTAGAGAAGAACATCACCTAGAATAGATCTCATGATGCATGCAGCTAG